CAGTGCCAGTTACGCTGTGTTTTGGGGAGAGGGCTGCTGGCAGGATGTTCAGTGGAGCAGAGGCATCTTCCAGCATCACCAGCTGGAGTTCTGGAGCCACTCAGCACCGGATCTTATGGCAGCCAGAGCGTGGAGGAGTTCAAAGTGCAGCCTCTGGCTCCAGGGCTGCTGGGTTGCACAATGCTGGGAGGGATTGCTCTGTCCCACTGGCCACGCTCACTGGGATGTTCCCTTGCGTCAGTGGGATACTGGTCTAGACCATCACATGTCATCTATAATGGTACTGTTGCACACTCCCTGCACTGGTCAGGGTGGAGAGTGACACTGAAACCTCCTGACGAAGGTCACAGGGAAGCTTGAGGTGGCACCAGGCCATGGTGGTGGGTGCTGGTGAGGTCCCAGAGCAGCACATCCAGGGATGTGTCTTAGCCCAGCTATTTTTTTTTACCTTGCCCTGGTGTGAATAGCTGCATCCTCCAAATGTAGAACCCAGTCTTGCCCCACAGCATCTCCCTTCTGGTTCCATCACACTCACCCAACCTCTAGTGAACCCATATCTCCTCCCTGGTCCTCTCTGGAGGAGTGGGCTCATGTCAGAGTCTTGGTTGTGCTCCTTAACCATTCTTCCCTCTTGGTTTCTCTCCTCTGTGATACATAGGCAGCTTTGTCTACTTCTGAATGCAGAAAACATATTCCACTCCATGGCAGACATACTGCTTCGGGAGGAGGACCTCAAGTTCGCCTCTACCATGGTCCACACCCTCAACACCATCCTGCTTACATCCTCCGAGCTCTTTCAGCTGAGAAACCAACTGAAGGACCTGAAGACTCCGGTATGCTCAGCAGGAGCTGGCTCACTGGCTGGGGGGGACTTAATGGGGGTGGTGGGGTCCTGGCAGCCATCTGGGGATGTATCTTGCTGCTCTGTCCCCTCCTGGCAGGTCCCAGGGTTGGAGCTTGAGTGGCCCCTTTGTTCCTCCACTCTTCAGAAGTTGAGGGGAGCTTGGAGTACGTACTCAACTCTTGCTTTGCTCCCTGGGATGGGAAAGGGCTTCCTGAGCCCTCAAGCAGCTGCTGCCTCTCTCCCTCCACCCCAGCACAGGCCAGGGGACAGGTGACAGTGGGAGTAAACCCCCCAGCCCCTCAGCTGTCCCTACCAGGAACGTGCCCCCAGTATTTGCTGAGCAGCTGCCACCAGCACCAGTGACATCCAAAAAAGGGGTGGAGAAGGAGGAAGGCTTCTACTCCTCCTCTTCCTCCTGCTGGAGGCCAGCAATGCACCTTGTCATGCTGTCGCCCCAAAACCTGCCTGGTCTCCATCTTCTGAGGCTGGTGGGCTCATGCCAGTGCCAGGTGGACTTGGTGGGTCCAGAAACATCCCTTCGTGTCTCGGTGACGCCAGCCCAGTGGATTGGTGGTGGGGACCTAGGGCTCTCCATGCCATGTCCTTGCTCTCAGTGGTGACCCAACCCCAATTGTTCCCTCTTTCCCCAGGAAAGCCGTAACCTCTTCTGCTGCCTGTACCGGTCCTGGTGTCACAACCCCGTGACAACCGTGTCCCTCTGCTTCCTTACCCAGAACTACAAGCATGCCTACGACCTCATCCAGAAATTGTATCCTTTGGGGATTTTCTGCCAGGCCGGTAGCCAATCTGGCCCTTGGTCCCTCTGTGGCCACAAAGGTCACCCTGCAGGCCAGCCCAGCCTCCTGCCTGCAGCCCATCATTACCGGGGCAGGGCAGCCCGTGCTGGGCGTGTGCCAGCTCCCTTCCCCGTGTGTCATCCTTTTTTTTGTGGTGTAAAAAGAGGAAAGTGTGTGCTGACTGAGCCTTGACCTTCCCCTGCCCAGGAGGGGAGGCTCCTCATCATTCTCTTCCTCCCAGGAAGATGAAGGCTTTGGCCTCCTGGCCTGATGAGGAGCAGGCAGTGCCCAGCACGGCACAATTCCCAGTGAGCTCACCATCTGCCTGCAGCAGAATGATTACTCTCATGTGCCAGCAAACCCCAAGCCTCCCTGAGCAGTTTTCCATACGAAGAAGCTCAATAACACGCTCAGCTTCCCTTCCTGGTGCACACTGGCATTCTTTCTGGGAGATGTGCCGTCCCCATGAGCCAGGAAGGTTGCACCATCATCCTGCCTGATCTTGGCTTTTTGGGCAGCCTGCCTCTTCCCCCATCCCTGCCTGCTCATCCTGTGTCCCTCCATCATCCCTTGGCCACCATGCAGACCTTTCAGTCCTGCCTGCGTACAAGCCCTGCCTGTTCCCTGCCTGCTCACTTCCCACAGGAGCTGTGGATGCAGGGAGGGTTTGGCAAAGCCGCAGTCCACACCGGACATCACCCGCACAAGCCATCTGCTGCGGCCAGGCCACTCTTTTCCAAGGTAACATCCTTAACGGCCGCATCCAGTGGGGATCTGGAGGTCACTGTGGATTTCCTCACCGAGGTGGACAAGCTGGTGCAGCTCATTGAGTGCCCCATATTCACATGTAAGGAGGAAACCCCGGGTGGGGAAGGGGCGGTGCTCCCCCTCCCCACTCCTCTAACGCAAGCGGCAGCCGCCGCATGAATAAATAGAGCAGAAGTTATGAGACTTCTTGCCGGGAGGTTTGCCCAGCACTAGAGCTGCCCATGGGAAAAGGGCACGCTGGCAGCACGGGGGGGCAGTGTGCCCCCCAGATATAGGTTAAGGGAGCGAATGGCGCTGGCATTGAACAAAAGGATGGGGGAAGGACGGAGAGGCCTGGATCACACTGAGCATCTCCAGAGGGGCACGGGTAGGGTGTAAGTGAGGAGAGCCCTGTGTGCCACCCTCAGATGTACAGGGTGGCATCATGGGTGTTGCTGGGGTCCTTAGCAAGAAACAAGTTGGGTTTTTTCAGGAAATGGAGAATTAAGCCCTAAAAAAACCCCTGCTATTTTATCCAGCAGTGGGGGTTCCCCATTGGGTAATGCAGCAATGCTTGACCAGGGGTTCAGGGATGTGACACTGGGAGCTGGGATGGCAGTGGGGCATGTGGCAGGGTGACATGTAGCTGCCGAGGGATTTCTTGTGATGGCAGTTGGCTGCCCCTGGCCTTCTCCTTAGAAGTGCAGGAGAGCATTGAGGTTTTGGGGAAATGTCCTGGAAAGAACATTTTGGTGCACCTATGTAGGTCCAGGGTTGGGGAGTGTTTTGGGGGGAAGAGGCTTATTGCAGCTGGGCAGTAGACACTCTCAGTCATGCTCCCTCCTATAGTACACATCCCAAGGATGACAGTCCCACTGTGTGAGGCATCCAGCTGTCTGTGGTGGTTTTCCATGGCCCAAAAATTATTCATTGAGCGTTCTCCACCCTCCTCACCTTAGTCTCCACATCTTGGAGTAGGTGACAGACATGTCCTCCATTAAGCAACATCCCTGGGATGGCTCCCTTCGCTGGGAGACACCAGAGGTGCGAGTGACACCCAGGAGGTGAGATGACAGGACATAGAATTTGCCCTATCCCCTGGGCTGCCCCAGGTGGGACTTCAGTTGTCTGTAGGGCTCCAGAAAACTATTTCACCATGAGCACAGTGAGGGATGGAGCCAGAGGCTGGTTTTTCCCTCTGCTGAGCAGCACTGAGGCCCAGCACATGTAACTGTCAGAGCCAAGCAGAGTGGATCCCTTCTGCTCCAGAGAGTCCCCAGGAGGGTGTCACCCAGCCCTCTGGATGTGTGATGCTCCAGGGTGGGAAGTATTTCTCCTAATTCTGCAGAAGGTGAGGAGCAATTCCATGTTGCATATGTCCTCACCAGGCAGCATGGACAGCCTCAGGGTTGAGCAGTAGCAGGGATGGGAGACTGGGGAGCCGTC